CATCTTGAATATTACAAAAATGCTTCCATATAAACTGATGCCAACTTTTCAATGATTTCTTCAATACAGACAATAATTCTTACACACAGATGTAAATAGACACTTACTTTTTGACTTTCAAGTATCCTCACTAAAGGGCTCCTCTCTTCCAATAAAGATGAACATCACTTTAACTAGAATATTCTACAGTATTTTGGAAGCGTTCCCACTGTGAAGGCTTTTATGTTTCTTTATTTTACGATTGCGTGATATACAGCTGTCTGCTGCTTATTTCCCCAGAAAATGTGGCCATAATCCGGAACATTCTGATGGCGCAGGCCGCTCCTCAAACAACAGCGATCGGCCATGTTTGTTTTCACCCTGAGCAGACTCCAGTTGAATGGCGTCCCATACCTGCAGGCTGGGAAACAGAACGAAGCTTAAAATGAAGGTAATGGAGAAAAAGAAAGAGAGAAACAGGCGTTAAAGCAATAGTGAAGATAAATTAATACAAAAAATTGAAATAAAAGAAGCAACAATATAGTCAGCATCCAATGAGAAAAGAAAAAGAAAGCGAAACGTGTCATCAAATTCCGGCATTTTTTATTTGCGAGTTTTCCCGCTTCTTTTTAGTTTTGGCGATTGATATTAGTGAGTTGGTATTATTCTTCTGAAATTCTGGCTTTATCTCATGTTTATTCTGTACTCAATGTGTTCAATTGTCTCTAGTTATTTGCTTCGGCTATTTGTATCTTGGTGGAATGATATTGTTTTGTTTCTTTTTACAAAATTCTTTGTCTTTTTGTTAAGTAGCATTTCTCTTTTTCTCTTTCGTTTCTTCCTTCTTTCTATCTTTTTTCTATCCTTCTATTACATTCATTTATACTTGTGTATATATTGTTTTAATTTCTCGTACATTTAAGACATATTTTAGTCACTTTCTATCAATTCTATAATATTCTTATCATACATTTCATTTTATCTTAACTATGTAGCATCAGTTTCTCATTTTAAATTAATTTCCCCTTTATCTCATTGTTTCATTCTTTTAGCAACATCCTTCTAATTCTTTTTTAATATCTATTATTTTATCATTCGTTTCTCATATCAAACAAGTATCTGCTGCAAACTTTCCCACCCGATCCATACAAAAACATCAGTATTTCGATGACCAACATCAGATAAATCGTTTAGAGGAGTGGTTCGGGTTGAAAATTCAAGGTTCTTCCCTTTCCATCTTATTCTCTATTTTCCTTTTTTTCTCACACATTTGTTCTTCATTTTCCTTTCTGTTTAATCCTTTGTCCTTCTCGTTTCTCGTCGGCTGTCAAACACTTCCTCTATACAGTTCATCTTTACAGCCCTAACCTCATCTCACTGGCTTCCAGTATCTTTTTTTTTCTTTTTTAATATTTCTTTTCTCATTGTAAACATGGTGGCTCCAATCAAACGGAAGTCGTAGATCAGTGGTTGTTGCTGGGAAATAGCCTTCTTTGCTCAAACTCTCGCACGTGTAGCGACGCCAACAGAGTTTTAGGGGAAAATCACCATCGTATAAGGTCAGATAACAAATCATTGGTTAGCGAAACCCTTATTACATTAAAACACCTGTTCCCGCTGGATCAACATCGTTGAGCAATATCCTCTCAGGCTATTTACAAATGAATGATGACTTGAGATTTTCCGTCGTTCCAAGTTTCAGGAAATTACAGCTGTGGTTAGAGAACAAATATAAACATTTTTTTTTTTTAATTTTCTCGTTATTTCATTATTGGTGATACAAGTTACTGTGCATTCTTTATCTAAAAATTGATTATAGAACAAAGCATAAATACATTTCGTTACAGAAAACAGGACTGAACATTTAAAAGCTGCTGCTGATTTGAAATAATTAGAAATTTAATCTGTGAAAAGAGAACAAATTATAAATATAAAAATTACAGGAGATTAAAATAAAAGTATCATTTTAGGAAGTAAATATTCTGATATTTTTTTAATCATTATATCCACAGGCACGGCAAGAACGCCACTAAAACTCAAGGTGTTGATAAATATGAAATAATAAAATGAGAATAGAAACATTATTAAGGAGCGAGAACAATAAAACAATAGGACTTGAGAAGACGGGATACAGCGATTGACAGGGTTAGGATTTAAATCTGAGAAAAATATAAGGAAAACTTCGAAAGCGGGCAGTAATTTTCAGTTTAGATATCTGTTGTTGTGACTATTTGGGGAAACAAGGAAAACTTATTTAACAGAAGGCAGGACGAATAAAAACAATATAGATCAATATATTACTTTTAATGGTATTTACAATTTGATATGAATCCTGATATATCTTTCAATATGAATCATAGAGAAATAACCAAGATATTAAGTTGAATGTCTTGTGGTTAATTAATTAATTAATTTATTAAACAAAGAGGTTTCGTATGGAACCATACATGATCTGTCAGTAAATATATTATCTATAGAAATATCCCTTTTTTCTGTTCTGAAAAAGAGAATTATAGTAAGTCAAACTTTCCAAGAGTTTCCTTGCTTTTTCTACTCATGATATTTTTATTAATCTTTACGAAAATTGACAGGAAAACATTACATTACCGATTAGAATCTACGGAAAGTTCTCCCTTGACTGTAATGTTTCTCACATTTTGTTCGTTTATTTGATTCCCTCACGCTCTCTCTCCCCAAATATAAGCAGAATGGTAGCATTGTAGTTATTAATAATTATATAGGCATAAATCAAATCATATGTAAATCTACAAAAACTGAATAAACCATTTTTTATCAGAATAATTTAGAATGAGCAAAATTTGTGTGGATTGGGAGAGAGAAAAAAAAACAACCACGTTGCGGTATAATAAAAAGAATTAATCGAATTTTATCTACAGAAATGTGAGTTTAATCAAACTGTACATCAGAATCATCCTGTGAAAATAAATGTTTTTTTTAAATCGTGAAATTAAAAGTATTTCTAAAGCAACACATTATTAATAAATGTAGACAAAATGTTCAGGATTATTGCAAATGTGCCAAGATGTTTTAAATGAATTATATTTCCAAATAATATTCCTGTCTTTGTTTTAGTAAACAATTTTGACTGATGAGATGACTGGCTCGTTTTATATTTTTATTTATTTATACTGTTCAACAATATATCAATAAAAACCTCGGAATGTTTCTCTAAGGAGATAACCGATATACGAAGAAACTTAGGCATGATAAGTTATTATGGAAAAATAATAACAAACGTTGGTGGATAATTTGAAGAAAAATGGATAATTTTAGTTGTATATCACAATTTATTTTTCTTCTATATTTATACATCTGACGCGAATCGCCAAATATAATATAAACAGAACAGATTTAAGTATTTTTTTTTATTTAATCCTTCCTAATGTAGACACAGTGTACGTTAATGAAGAATACCGTAAATTTTATAAACACTGGTTTGCATGTGAGCAGTGAATATCTTAACAAACATAACATTCTATGTCTATACATATTTCAATGTTTTAAAAGAGGGAATTTATTGAATAAAGTGTCGGAAGGCTTTACATTATTTACAATCGGAATAATGTCATCATTTTTTATTATGATATGATTTCGTTTTCTGTAAACTCTGGTCTTTTTCAGGTTTTTTCGAGCCTGATAAATATTTCAAAAAAGGGTTCCTTTCCTAATTCCCTGAAAATTGCCCGAATGGATAAACACCTGAAGGAATAGTGTTCTAATAACAACAAATACTATGAAATTTAGTCGGAAAGTAAATAATTTAATTCATTACGACACTGATCAAGGAAGCTGGTAACGTTGATTCATTTACATTTCTCGAAGATAATAATATTTTTACAACTTTCAGTCCTATATTGCTGTAGCATTGTGACACGGCTGTGCTAGCCTATTTTGAGAAAATAGAAAACTGTTATTTACTTGAAATGTATTACAAGAAAGACGCTGATGAGGATTTCTCACGGGCGTTAACTCTTTGGTTTCCATTGGATACTCTACAATACAGATTAAACTGAACGACACACACACATTACTAATAAAAATTGATGCATAAAAGCTTGTAAAAATCAGAAAACAAATTGTATGTCTATACTGGTTTGAAAATATCACTGACCGATGATTATTTGATATTTTAAAACACGAGAAACTGACATTTCCCTGTGTACTGAAAACGTGTAAGTTTCGTAACAACAAAAACAACGACCACATATGCGGAAGTGTTAAATATCTCACTTTTTATCATATGTACAAGTATGGATTAGAAGAGTTGTTTCTATGCCTCATATTCTGACTGATATTCGACTATAGAAAGATTGTGAGCAAAATTGGAAAAGAATGTTAAAATTTCCGTAATTACCAAAAATATTAATCTTGTAAACAGATCATAATAATTTTTCGTCTAACATTCAAGCCTTAAATTGAAGGCAGTATGAAGTGATTTGGTCTGTATGAGTTTAGGCTACCCACCATACTTCTCGAAGTTGGAATAACCTAAAGACGAAAGAGTTATGGGTGGCTTGGAAGGGGTAAAGTTAGATAACACATTCCTGATAAGCTACTTCGAGGGTTGCTTGGCTACACTTGATTAATCAGATGGTTAATTGGCATTTATATTGGCGGCGGCCAACGCAGTTCCACAGTAGCGACCGGTGTCCACTCTCGCCTTCATTCCTGCTGCCAACTCTCTTTATACATATGATCGATAATTTCGCCATTAATTTCCAAATGATTATCATCTCTCTATAATTTCTCTCTCTTCCTCTCTTGAGTTTCGCTTTTTCTTTGTGGATCTGTTCTTTCTATCTCCATTGTCTTGGCGAATTTAACAAAATGATTGATCACATTGCCTTAATTTACGCATGGTCGGAAATTAGAGAGAATGTTGAAAGAAGCAAAAGCAAAAAAAAAAAAAAAAAGGAAAAGGAAAAGGAGCAAGTAAAAAAAAAAGGTAAAAACAAGGAGAGGCGATAATGGCAAAGAAAAGGAAAACAACGAACCAATTCCTAAGTGCATACGTGCATACGTCTGCTAGATAAAAGGCCGAATAATTGTTTTTGAAGATTGACAGGCATATAAAATAAAAGAGAGAAAAGAGAAATACAAAAAGAGAGAAAGGCGGAAGGAACGTTCAGTAGAAAGATGAAGAAAATGAATGAATGATAATGAAAGAAAAAAGGAATAAAGCGAGAGATAAAAGAACGAAAAAAGAAGAAGTCAAAATTTAGAAAGAAAACAGATGAGAAAGAAAGAAACAGTGATGAAAAGGAGAAAATAAGGGAGGAAAAAGAAGCAGACGTTAAAATAAAGAGGTAAATTAATAAGACACCCAGGCAAAAGCAAGAGAAAAAAAGAAGATGAAAAACGAAGCAAATTAAGTAGAGAGAAAGTAAATAAAAATATAGAGAAATAAAACGAAAGGAAAAGAGTTGAAATAAGGAATGACAAGAAGTAAGATATATATGGAATGAGTGGTAGAAGAAAAAGAGGAAAATTAAGAGAGTGAAAGAGATTATGAAAATGAACGAAATACAACAAAAGTTAAAACAATTATAATTGAGAATATTATAATGAAACAGAAATGTATCCATTGAAATCAGTAAAGACTGCGGTAGGAAACCACATATCATCAGAATATATTTTTAATAGCTCAATTGCCCATAATGTAGTAATGACAATATCACTTGTTTTCAATAGCAAAATGCGTAGTTGAAAGTAGAAACATAAAGAAACATCATGTAAATGAAAAAGGTTCCTTGTAGATTGAATATCATGGAATATCGAAATAAAGAAATAATTCCAACTTGAAAAGTTTGCAGTTTTACTCTAATGTTTTGAGAAAATGTTTGCGAATATATATATATATATATATATATATATATATATATATATATATATATAAATATATATATATATATATATATATATATATATGTGTGTGTGTGTGTGTGTGTGTGTGTGTGTATTAATGCATGTTTCATTAAATAATAAAGACAGGTTTTTTTCTATTTATTTTCAGTAAGTTCCTTTCATATTTTCTGAAAAGCTTAATCACATTATCGTTGAAAGACGAAAGGAAAACACCATATTGATACATATTTAAATCTAATGTAAGGGTTCGGCTTACATAAGCCATTATTCAAAGATGACAATTTCAATAAATCAAACAACACACGGACGAAACAACAATGATAGTCCGCCCTTGATGCATGAAAAATTTCAAAGTAAAGACAAACTCGTATATACGAGACGCCGAAGCGAAAATCGCGTCGCAGCTCGTGACGTCACACCTGATCATGCGACAGTAAAAAACGAGAAATATTAAGTATGGGAAGTCGTTAGTATAAACCAATGGCTTCAGTTATTTTTCAAATCCACCCCTGCGGACTCTATATAAGTTACTTGGAAGTTGGCTTCAAAATATATCAATGCGACTAAAACTTATGGCTCTTTGGTAAAAAAAACAAAAAAAAAACAAAAAGACCGTGATAATAGAGTTTCAAATGCTCCAGTTATGGGCTTCCAAAATGTCCACTATAGCGGCTGAGGGGGCCATTAAGGTGTCTTGATATTTTTGAAATTGGTTGATATTGTTGGAATAGTTATCATTTCAGGTCAGTTGTCTAAGTTTAAATTTAGGTTATATCAAAGAGAAAAATATGAGGGGTGTGTCCCCGGGACCTCCTTCGACCAAAAACACCATATATACTTATACAAAGTATATTACATCTACTCTCATGCCGGAAATGTATGTTCCAAATTTCATAAAAATCTGTCTTGTCGTTTTTGAATCCATGAGTACATTTATTTTGACGGGGGGGGGGTCATCACTTTTATATGTACTATCTGTTTCCTAAATTTAATGAAGATCTGTGAAGTAGTTTTTCTTCCTATACATGTACAGACAGACACACATACACAAAAAATTCAACTTCCAGACAGGGAATCCATAAAGTAAGAATATTGCGACCTTCATTTGGCAAAGGAGAGGAGTCGATGACTACAGGGGATATGGAATTGGATTCGCATTTATGCACCAACACTCTAAGCAACGCCAGAATTCAAGGAACCTCTACGATCAGGATCATACAAAGATAAAGTTCAACAGTATAAACGGATAAGCAAAACTATATGGTGATTCGGAGTTTCACGCTTGAGGCGAATATCAGATCATGTGTTACTACTCTGATAAAAGACAACAATCGGTTTTCCTTTCTTTTATGGCTAATTTCAAAATGATATAAATCAATAAATATCCCAGATATAACTAAAGAACACGGTCTAGATATTAATTCGTTTACTGCTTACAAAACAACATAATATTTCAAAAAAAATATGAAAGTTTCGAAAGTCACCTCCCCCACATCCATAAAAAATTAAATGAGTAACAAAATGTCTTCACCAATCTTTTGAACAGTATCTATCCATTCTTTCCTGTTTAGGATTGTAATTTCGGTTCTTTTATCTAAATTATTATTCTCTTTCACTCGCAGTACCACCTTGCGTCTTAGTGGAATTATCGTCTTGCTTGGGTGTGAAATGATAAAAAAAAACAACAACAGGAAAGCTAAATATATTCATATCGTTACAATCTCAAAACACATATGGACATTTCAAAACAAAACAAAATAAAATCAATATGGAATATAAAATATATTTGCAGCAGCGACTAGAAATGCAACGTTTGCCTTGAGGAGAAATGAACAATAATCAACTTGCCAAACGAAACTCGAAAACACTCATCAACATATATGCCATTTTCTTCGACATTTATCTGCCAGCACCAGATTCCACATCTCTTTGCAGTTTTATAATAAAAAGTAGCTTTTAAATATATTTTGATATTAAACCTTAATTTAATTATACTACAATATTCTTTTAAATATAACTGAAACCATCTTGAAAGATGGAGAACATTTGACATGCTGTATAATCAAATTAATTGTGACGAAATATATATTTTACATTTGAGAGTAAGAAGTAAAAAACCGCGTGCATATATATATATATATATATATATATATATATATTAATTTATCGTGTGTCTATATATTTGAGAACAGTTATTATGATTACTTACATTATTTAACCCGAACACATTATTTTGTCCACCTGTTCTATCTCCACGTGCCATGCCTCTTCCGAATGTCTTAGATATTTCAATTTGTCTCTCCAAGTTTTGGTTTAGCATTGCTGTTACCTGGTATTGAACTCACAACTCAGTAAGTCTTGTCATTGGCTCTAACCAACGACTTTATTTTTTTTTATTTAATTACCAAACATTATATATATATATATATATATATATACTATTCATTAAATATATATATATATATAATGAACATATATATATATATATATATATATATATATATATATATATATATATATATATATATACTGTTCATTAAATATATATATATATATCATTAAAATATATACATATATACTGTTCATTATATATATATATATATATACATATATACTGTTCACTAAATATATATATATATATATATATATATAATGAATAGTATATATATATATATATATATATATATATTCATTAAATATATATATATATATATATATACTGTTCATTTAAAATATATACATATATACTGTTATATATATATATATATATATATATATATATATATATATATATATATATATACTGTTCATTAAAAAATAAAATCAGAACGCCTGCTTAGATAAGTGGGTTCGCATACGAAAGAAACTACTCGAAATATCGAATTACCATTCGTAATATACAACCTATATATTTACTTTTATCAAGGATATTCGAACTGGTGTCCTTGTGCAATTTCACATCTTTTTTTTAATCTCCATCTGGTTTTCAAAGGGATCTACCAACCGATCCTTGCTATTTCCCCGGACAATTATAGTAAACTCACCACTCACCAAGCTACACATTTTTTTTTATCCTCATCCATGACAGAGAAAACACTCTAACATCTGCTATTTAATTCCTCGGAGAATGCTAAGTCCTCCTCTACTGAATGCCTCCACCTTAATCATGTAATTGGTGATATTAATGTTTTCCTCAGACTCATTTGTTCGTAATATGTATTCAGTTAGGAATCTTCAAGCGGAACGGTGCCGTACTTTGTACTCCACTCTGCGTCCTGTGATAAAATTCTTCAAGCATTTCCCTTTACCACATCGCTTATGTTGTCATATTTTCTCATTCGATAAAGGAAATATTCGCTGATGAGCGAAGCATCTCGGCACAAGTTTGTTATGATTGCTTGGAACATAATTTCATCACCAATTTGGAAACATCATCTCCTACTGGTGTAGTCAAAATGATTCATTATTTACTCTGGCTGTATGTATACGTCGAGATTTGACTGACTTTTCCAGGCTTTTGTTTACTTGCTGCAGTTGTTAAGAGTTGATTTGTAGCTGCTCGTCTAATATAGCGTGCACTAAGAAGTTTTTGTACATTGTACCGTTTTTATACATTGTACCGTCTTTGGCATGCTTATATAAATCAGAGCGATGAAGCGGTTTCGATTTTCAGATCTACTGTGTTTTTATTTAATAGAAACGGTCGCTATGTTTCAAGTAAAATAAACTGGTTGAGATAGAAAGAACATTAAAAATAACATTTGATAAATGATAGTTTTACTTCCTATACGGTAAAATGAGTAAAAACTTAGATATTTTAAATGACCCATGTATTTCAGATGATTTTATTACTTTCACTTACGTGCTAATAGCCTTGGGAAAGGTAGGAATTCATCTCTACTTCTTCCAGCTATGGTTAAATAGCAGTGTAGTCTGGGATTTATAGCCTTGGCTGTGAAATGGTTTAAGAGAAAGAAAACTGTGAATTCAAAATCTACGAAGGCACAATGGCGAACTTTGTGTCATACTGTTCAACAGTTCTCAGTATTCGGATCTTCCAGAATATATGGTCGGTTCTAGAAAACCTTTACTACTTTTATCAAATATGTTGTATAGTCTGACGTTTTGGTTCTAAGAATTGTGATATTTGACCCACATACGGCTAATATGATGACAGAGACAAGTACACACACACACACACACACATACACACACACACAGATAAAAAAGATGAAGGTGGAATGGACATCTGAGATTGCTCTCCCTGTTTCCTCCATTCTCCAACAGGTGTTTTCAGCTTTTCCCGCCTTTCTTGCTTCCCCAATGAACAACGTGTGGCCATAGGCTACGATCTTCTGCTAACTACCAGAATCAATGCCTGTGCGTTTCAGCTTCCTCTTGCAAACCTCCTTGAACTGTAGTGTGGGACGGTCTGCCGGACGGTGTCCCGTAACCAGATCATTATATATGGTATCTTTTGGTATACGGCCATCATTCAGACGATGTAGCCATTAAAGACGACGTTGAAAATACATGCTCCAGATTTCTGCTTTCCCCAGCACAACAGTGTTGATGACTTTGTCTCTACATGTGATGCCAAGCATGTTTTATAGGCAGCGGTGATGAAGGCATTCGGGGTGTTATTCCTGCTTCTGATGTATATGTTGTCTAATTTTCTCTGCCGTATATCAGTATACTAAAGACACATGCTTGTCAGCTG